TAGAGTGATACACGTATAATCTGGAGAATAATTTAGAGTGATACACGTATAATCTGGAGAATAATTTAGAGTGATACACGTATAATCTGGAGAATAATTTAGAGTGATGCATGTATAATCTGGAGAATAATTTAGAGTGATACACGTATAATCTGGAGAATAATTTAGAGTGATACACGTATAATCTGGAGATAATTTAGAGTGGTGCACGTATAATCTGGAGAATAATTTAGAGTGATGCATGTATAATCTGGAGAATAATTTAGAGTGATACACGTATAATCTGGAGAATAATTTAGAGTGATACACGTATAATCTGGAGAATAATTTAGAGTGATACACGTATAATCTGGAGAATAATTTAGAGTGATACACGTATAATCTGGAGATAATTTAGAGTGATACACGTATAATCTGGAGATAAATTAGAGTGATGCACGTATAATCAGGAGAATAATTTAGAGTGATACACGTATAATCTGGAGAATAATTTAGAGTGATACACGTATAATCTGGAGAATAATCTAGAGTGATGCACGTATAATCTGGAGATAATTTAGAGTGATACACGTATAATCTGGAGAATAATTTAGAGTGATACACGTATAATCTGGAGAATAATTTAGAGTGATACACGTATAATCTGGAGAATAATTTAGAGTGATGCATGTATAATCTGGAGAATAATTTAGAGTGATACACGTATAATCTGGAGAATAATTTAGAGTGATACACGTATAATCTGGAGAATAATTTAGAGTGATACACGTATAATCTGGAGATAATTTAGAGTGATGCACGTATAATCTGGAGAATAATTTAGAGTGATACACGTATAATCTGGAGAATAATTTAGAGTGATACACGTATAATCTGGAGAATAATCTAGAGTGATGCACGTATAATCTGGAGAATAATCTAGAGTGATACACGTATAATCTGGAGAATAATTTAGAGTGATACACGTATAATCTGGAGAATAATTTAGAGTGATACACGTATAATCTGGAGAATAATTTAGAGTGATGCACGTATAATCTGGAGAATAATTTAGAGTGATACACGTATAATCTGGAGAATAATTTAGAGTGATGCATGTATAATCTGGAGATAATTTAGAGTGATGCATGTATAATCTGGAGAATAATTTAGAGTGATACACGTATAATCTGGAGAATAATTTAGAGTGATACACGTATAATCTGGAGATAATTAGAGTGATACACGTATAATCTGAGATAATTTAGAGTGATGCATGTATAATCTGGAGAATAATTTAGAGTGATACACGTATAATCTGGAGAATAATTTAGAGTGATACACGTATAATCTGGAGAATAATTTAGAGTGATACACGTATAATCTGGAGAATAATTTAGAGTGATACACGTATAATCTGGAGAATAATTTAGAGTGATACACGTATAATCTGGAGAATAATTTAGAGTGATACACGTATAATCTGGAGATAATTTAGAGTGGTGCACGTATAATCTGGAGATAATTTAGAGTGATGCATGTATAATCTGGAGAATAATTTAGAGTGATACACGTATAATCTGGAGAATAATTTAGAGTGATGCATGTATAATCTGGAGAATAATTTAGAGTGATACACGTATAATCTGGAGATAATTTAGAGTGATACACGTATAATCTGGAGAATAATTTAGAGTGATACACGTATAATCTGGAGAATAATTTAGAGTGATACACGTATAATCTGGAGATAATTTAGAGTGGTGCACGTATAATCTGGAGATAATTTAGAGTGATACACGTATAATCTGGAGATGATACACGTATAATCTGGAGATAATTTAGAGTGGTGCACGTATAATCTGGAGAATAATTTAGAGTGATACACGTATAATCTGGAGATAATTTAGAGTGGTGCACGTATAATCTGGAGAATAATTTAGAGTGATACACGTATAATCTGGAGAATAATTTAGAGTGATACACGTATAATCTGGAGAATAATTTAGAGTGATACACGTGATACACGTATAATCTGGAGATAATTTAGAGTAGATTGATTACAAAATTGTAGGCGCTAATATATTTATGCTTTCTTATTATTATGTTACGAAATCATTCCTAACATCATAATTTTTGTAAGCGGATTTGTCATAAATCTATCAATAACGCCGAGATTAAAAGAAAATTTGGGTTAAGATCGATTACGATACATTTTTATCAGGTAGATTTTTTCTTCAATACCTTTACTTTCATGTTCCTTTTTATTTAGTAACTGTTTATGATTAAAATGTTGAAATAGAAAGAAACTAATCTCAAGTCATTTATCCCTTTCTTCGATTTCATCTGATTTTGCTTAATTTTTCAATTAAATTTAATAAAATTTGTGTTATACATTATACATAAAAAGAAATAATGCAACGAAAATCAAACTTTCTTCGATAGTTTCAGCTAACTAAAATATTATTTCTGAGATTTTATTATATTTTATTTGGAGAAGTAGCAAAATTACATCGGATTATTATTTTCCAGCGATTAGTGTTTCGCTTCTATTATTATCATTAAGTTTTAATTTATTGTAATGAAAATATTCGAAATTCAGTTTACCTTCTAAAGATCAAATACCAGAAAAGCTTCAATAGTCAAATTAACGAATTTGTAAAAGTTTTTTTTTTTTGTGCTATTTCAGTTGTAATGCTTCCACTCTTGTGATTATTATACTTTTAGTCCATCTTTTAGAATTTTTAATGTTTCAGAATTTTTTTAAAAGATTTATTCCTCATTTGATTCTTTTTTATTTTCTTGTTTTCAAATTAATTTTTTTACTTTGACTGCATTTTGAATTTCTATGATTTGCACTGTTATTATTGTAAATAACTCGATAAATAATTTGAGCCATGTTTGTGTTTTGTTCAACTGAATTCTTTTTGTTGTCAGCAATATTAAATTTTTAATTTTATTTCAATTTTTCTTTTTATTCAAACTTTATAATCCCATTTCACACAAAAGATGTTGAATACTAAGCGCCGATTTTTGGTGCAAGCAAAAAAGCAAAATGACAATTACTTAATGATAGAAATATAAAAATTTTTTAGCGATCAAATTTAAATTCACAAAATTCGTTCAATATTTTTGCAGATATGAAATAATGAGTTTTAAAAGTATTACAATTTATTGGTGCCTAAGAAATGTCAGTGTCAAATACGCAAGTTGAATTGATACTAATTAGATTTTAGAAAAAATTGATTGCACAATTGTTAGTTTTCATTTAGGGAATTTTGATTTTTTAATTTTACTAGTAAAGCGCATACAGAATCTGCAACATACTTTTTACTTTTTTTTTTTTTTACAGAGTTTTGATGTTTAAAATAGCAATATTTGATAAAATTTTATTTCAATCTAAAAAAAAATTTATAAAATCACTCATATTTACTTACAAATGCTGGTTTATTTACCTTATAATTTCTGCTTACGCATAAATCAATGATTCAATGAAAACTTTTGCTTCTTATTTTTTTACAAAATTACATTAATGTTAATTGAAATTATCAGCCATAATGATTTTGTTATCATTTTTAATTGACAGTTTTAATTAATTTTAATTTTTTTCCTCTTTTTGTAGAAGCTATAATATTGCAGAGGAAATTTTCATTAAAATTTGTTCGCTTCTTATTGTGCTACCAAAGAGAATATGTATATATTGCATGCATATGAATTAAAGTGGATAATTGGTCTTAATAAATGAGTAATTAATGAGATAATGAAACTCAAACATCTATGATTTGCTTAAGTTAGTAAATAAAACATTAGAAAATACAACAAAAAAAAAATGGAAGGTTATTTTAATTTTATGCTCATAATAAAGCATTTTTTCTGACAAAGTTATTTAATTTTATTTTTAAGAAAAAACAAAAAAAACTAAACAATTCATTCAATTTTATGTATTTTTAGTTTGCGACTGAATCATTTTGTTTCTTTAAATCTTTTTACGCATAATTATTTACTAATTTACAAAACTTATATACTTTTTTTTTCATATTTCAACTTTATTTGTTTCAAAATTAGGCCAATTCTCCTTATTAATAATAAAAAATACTCGTAAAAAAAGTGAGTAATATTTAAATTAAAAAAATAGTAAAAAATGTTTTGAGGCTCTTTGTTGTCTTTTCTTCAGTAAAAGTTGTAATAATTATTTGTTCGAGTATTATTGCATTCACTTTTTTCTTTCTTTATCACAAAATTGTTCGAAAATATTTTTTTATCAAAAGACTTACTCAAAAATATGAGATGGAAAATAAAAAATAATCAATTATAATAATCGAAATTAAATTTAAACAAAAAAGAAAAATCCATTAACAATTATTGGAAATTGTACAGAATTAACAACAGATAGTTTAATTTAAAAATATCAATAATATTGAAAATATACATTCATTTGATTATTACATCCATATAGCAGTAATTTTAAATATATTTATAATTGAAAAGTTAATGTGAAATTTTTTTTTTTTAAATCTGCTATAAATCCATTTACATTATTTTAAATTGAAATTTCAGGACTGCTTTTTCAAGCAAAAAAATTTATAATTCGTTTAAAAAAGAAAAAAAAAATCAAGAAATTATTACATCAAAAAATGAAAATTTCACATTAGAAATGACATTTATATCAAAGTAAATTACAATTTATAGAAAATAATTTCATTTAAATTAACACATAAAATGGTGTAATCTAAATTTTTAATGAAAATTTCAAAATAAAAAGATAAAAAGTAAATAAATTGCTGTAAGTTATTAATTAATAAAGATATAAAAAATGATAAAAGATAAGGAAATAATTTTTTTTCCTTTTTTAAATTCCTTTTTTTTTTTTGAAAAAAAAAGGTATATTGATGAGTAATTATGAGTACTGTTGATAATTTTATGAGTAATTATGAGTACTATTGATAATTTTATGAGTAATTATGAGTACTATTGATAATTTTACGAGTAATTATGAGTGCTATTAATAATTTTATGAGTAATTATGAGTACTGTTGACAGTATCGTTCACCTAAATTAGTCGTTCCAATCCATTTTTTGAAATTTTGCAAATGTTTCGATGTTCGCTTCCTGGAAAAACGTTCTTCTTGCGTAAAACACGAACCACGTAATTGTGTTTCAGTGGTAGAAATGAAATGTACACGAAAAAGCTCAATTTTATCAAGCGAAAAAAGTGTTTGAGCATCAACCGAATAATCCATCAAACGTGTTAATGCCGAATAGTCACGCTCACCAATTTGAACCGTAAACTGAAAATGTTTTTCTTTTTTTTTCTTTTTCTTTTTTTATTTACTAAAAAAATTTTGTTATGAAAGAAAAAAGATGTAAAATTAATCAAAAAAATAAAATTAATTGGTTAACATTGCAGTATTAATTGATTAATTGCTTTCATTTTATAATTAAAAAACTATTTTCAATTATTACAAAATTAATTAATATGACATTTGTTTTTTATTTTGAAAAAAAACGAAAAAAAAATGATTTTTTTTTTGGTTTAAGAATTAATTTAATCAAAATATTTTCAACATTTAATACGGATAATTTTTTAAGTGAAAAAGAGTTCAATTTTTCAGTTAAAAAAAAAAATTTTTTTTTTCGAATATAAACAAGATTTTAAATACACATATCACCAATTTAATAAAAATAATGAAAAATAAAAAAAAGAAAACCAGATTTTATTTCCATGTAAGCTTATATTATTAATATATTATTATTGTAGTGATAATAACTTTTTAAAAATATTGCGATTATAATAATAATAATGATGATAATAATAATAGTAATAATAAGAGTAATCGTAATTATAACAGTAATAATAAGCATTAACAGTAATAATAAGCAATAACAGTAATAATAAGCAATAACATAATAATAATAATAATAAGGAAATATTGAAATCAAAATCGAATATAATTATATTCGATAATAAATAAATGAATTAATTACTAAATTAATTAATAAATAATAACCTCAGTAACATTTGGAAAAAATGTCTTTTGACAGGTAGATGGTATACACTGTACATGTACAGAATCTTCAGCAGCTTGTCCCTCTAACGTTTTCAAATAACATTGAAAAGTGTGCCATCGATTAAAATCCATGCTTGATAAGCCAGCCGTGATCAATTCAACAATTCCCATATCAAGCTGATTAATAATAATCAATAATAATGATGATAATAAATGATAACAATAAAGTAATAATAATAATAATGATAATAATAGCAATAACAATAATAAATATTAGTTATAAACAATAATTTCTTTATAAAATAATAAAATTAATTTGATATATTTACCGAAACATTTCGTATTGATGGTGCTAATAGTTGAATTGCTTGAAATAATTTACTGATATCTTTTGGTGTCCATCTTTCATGAACAATAAACATAGCACTATGAGTGTCTAAGCTTAGCAATATTTGCGCACTATGATGTCGATAAAAATTACCTAAATAAGTTTTTAATTTATTTAAAAATTAGCAAAATAAAAAAGTTTAATAAAAATACTTAAATAAGTTTATTGTTTATTTATATATTTTGAAATTCAATTAATTTATTTGATGACAGAAATTAATTTAAGAAAGGATAAAAAGTAATCAATTCTTCTATTGTTTTTGAATAATTATTAAAAATGCAACAAATAAGTAGAATAAAAGAAAAAAATACAATTAAGAAAATTTGATAAAACTAAAATTTATAATCAAAAATCCTAAATGAGTTTAATTTTTATTTGTTTGATTATTTTATTTTGTTTTATTTGTTGTTTATTCCAGTAAACATTGTAATTGTTTTGTTTTACTCTGTAAACATTGTAATTCTGATATACAACAGTTATGATAGAAAAATTGATATATTCTTTTTATGATTTCTAAAATTCTTATAAATAATTTAATTGATAATAAGTTAAAATTTAATTAAATTAAAGTTTGTTAAATTAAAATTTGCAAATACAACAAATACCAACCATCATTAATACTTTCTTGGCCTAGCATTGAAGCAATATTCCTTCGATCAGCGTATAAATAAAGGATATTATTAAAACGACTATCAATTAAACGTTTAAAATTTTTGTTTACACGACGCCACAAATATAAATCAAATGGTGAACACTGAGCAAATATAGTATTCCTTTAAAAAAAGAAGAAAAAATAATTTACTTTTATGAAGAAAACAAAAAAAAAAAAAATTAACATTTTACATTTTTTAAATTATTAACAGTAATACCAATAATGATAATATTAATTAAATTATAATTATAAATAAACCATTGTTAATACTAATAATAATTAATAAAAATTGGTATAATGATTAATAATAATAATAATTGGTCTAATGATAATAATAATTAATGGCAATAATTAGTATAATAATTATTATAATGGCAATGATGATTATGATAATGGTAATGATTACAATTATGATAACGATAATGGGAATGTTGGTTTTAATATAATAATATTAATTAAATAATAAACAACGATTATTTTTATGCAAAAAAAAAAGAAAAGAGAGAAAGCAAACTGTTAATTTAATCAATCAATGAATAAATTATATTTCACAGTACATTATTGTACTGATAAAAAGAAATATACCATATTTCATCAGTAAATTGATAAGATTTTCCGGAATAAATTGTTGATGATTTTTTCTTTTTTAATGATAAAATTAATGTTTCACCACCAATTCGTCGTTGCAATCGATGCACATTGTTCTCAAAAAATTCTTTCAATGATGGCATCTGAAAAAAAAAGAAAAAAACATTTCAAATAAATTCAAATAAAGCATATTTCTTACCTTTTTTTTTTCTTTTAAATCCACAATTTAATATATAAAAAAATTTTGTTTAAAATAAGCAAAATTGTTAGAGAAATCATTTTTAAAGTAAGAAACAAAGAGAAAAAAAAAAGAGAGAAATGGGAGAGAGAGAAGAAAGAAAAAAGGAAGAGAGGGAAAGAGATAAATGAGGCAAAAGTTGTTTTAAAGTTTATTTAAAAAAAAAAGAAGAGAGAGAGAGAAAGATAAAAATAAAAATTGAAACTTAATTTTTCTCTCCTCCTTATTAATTAATTATTAAAATGATTTGTAATATATACAAGAAAAACAAACAAATCATAAAATGAATTCCAAGGAAATGAAAAAAAAAGAAAAAGAAAAATAAACAAATATTTGATTTGTTTTCAAAAATATGACCAATAATTGCTGCAAATTATTTTAATTTATAATAATAATTGAACATTTAATTAAAAATTGCTATTATCAATTTTAAATATATAAAAATTTTTTTAATCTTTTTTTTTAAAAAATGTTTTTATTTATTCAAAAAAAATTTAAAATTGAAAGTGCTTATTTATATGCATAAAACGATATACTTCTATGAACCATGCACTTAACAAAATTAAAATGAAATAATTTTAAAATCAAAAAAAGAAAGATTGGATACAAAAAAAAAAAAAAAAGGAACATTATTAAAATTGATGAAATTAAATGCATTTTTCTAATTTTGTTGCAATCATTATGTCTGCTAATACATTTGTCATTTAAAGGAATAAAACTATAATAATTTTAAATTTCAGAAAAAAAAAAGAGCGAAATAAAATGAAAGCAAAAAAGAAGCAAAAAGAAAGAGAATAGTTGTATAAATTTAGCAGAATTAAATGCATTTGAAAATTTAGTTCAAATCGACATATCTAATGAATCATTTAATTAATAACATATAAAAATCTTCAACTCTGAATGTTACAATTATTTACATTCAAATTTAAAATTAATCATTAAATTAATAAAATTGAAAAATTGAAAAAAATGATTTTTTTTTTTAACTAAAATAAAATGTAAAAATAAAAAACAAATTTTAACTTTAACATAACAAATGCTTGTTGACAAAAAAAAAAAAGATGGATTGTTTAATTTGTGGGAAAATTGAGGCAAAGAAAAAAAAAAGAGAAAAACGAAGGGAATTAAAGGATGAAGAGGAAATGAAATGTTATTTTTAGTGATAAAAACAAGATGATAAGAGATGATAATGCATCATATATCTGTTGATCAGTTATAAAAAGAAAAAAGAAATTTTCTATTAATACTCAAATTTTTATTTAAATTTTAAATTTGAAATTCATTTTCCTTTTCTGTTTGTTTCCAATTATTGTTGCTAATATTTCGGATAATTTTGTGATTATTTTTGAAAATTTTAGCATCAACTAATGACATCACTCAAGCAATTTCATTTTCTTTTTCTTTTTTCGTATTTTAGTGAAATTGTTATACTAATAATAATAATTATTTTTATAATAATTATAGTATAATTAGCAGTAATAACATATAAAATGATAATTTTGTCAATTAATCTTATCATTATAAATAAAAATGTATGAATAATCTAGGAAGAAATTAGTTCAAAGAAATGTAAAACTTAAAATTTTTGTTTCTTTTTTTTTGTTTTAAAATTTTTCTTTTTATTTTAGCAAAAGAAAAAAAAGGAGAAAAAAGTTTCACTTTTTCTTATCATTCCTAGTTTACATTGAAATTTGATGGAATTTAAACGTTTATTTTATTTTTTTTTTTTTTTTTGTTTTTCAAATCAATAAAAAATCATATCGGAAATATCAAAATAAATAATAATTTTAAAAAAAAAAATTAGCACTTTTTTTTGGTAGAATATAATAGCTATAATATAAAAGAATTCATTTTTATGATATCAAATGAAAATATTTTAGTTTGAAATATCAAAGATTATTTTTTAGATAAAATTATATGATGCGAATATGTATGAAAAATTCTCAATCCTTCTCAGTTATTTAATTAAACATTACTTATCTAAATTTATTATACTTAATTAATTTACTCGTTCATATACGTCAATTAATTATATGTTTTATTCAAATTTAATTATCTATTTATTTCCACCTACATATTACGTATTTCAATTATTTATTTTATAAATTAATATAGTAATTTGCATATTACGTTTTAGATTTATTTGTTTTAAATTAATATAATATTTTCTAATATTTTTCCATTTTTACATTTATAAATTATCACATTAATATTTTATTCTTATTTTATTAGTATTTTCTTTTTTTTTTTGTTAGCATCCTTTTTTCTTATTTACCTTAATAATATCAATCAATCATTTCCTATTTAATAATCAAAATTTTATACCTAATATAAGTTTGAATATTTATTATTTCAATAATGATTCATCATTGATGATTAAATCATCAATAAAAAAATAAAACAAATTTATAAAAAATTTTTCGCATGAATCAATCATATTACATTTTATTGTTATTTCTGTTTTTCTTTTTTCCTTTTTCCTTTTTTTTTTTTTTTTTCTTTTTTCTAATAGAAATAAATAATTTTTGTTCAGCAAATTTTTGAAGAAAAAGAATAAAAATAAAATGCATATATTTTCATTTTTTTTTTCCACCTTTTTTTCTTATAAAATTCAACTAATTCTTTTCCTTTTTTTTTTTTTTTTAAATGAAACATTCAATTCAATTTAGTAAAATATTCAAAATAAATAAAAAGTAAAAATGAAAAAAAAAAAAAAAACAAACGAGAATGAAGAGTGTAATTTTAATAAATTATTTTATTTTTTAACAAATAAACATTTAAAATGAATAAATTGCGTTTTTTTTTTCTTTTAAATTAAAATGAAAATGTTTAGTAAATTTATTTGTTTGAATATTAATTCAATAAATTTACTAAACAAACAAAAAGCAATAAATTTCCTTAGCAAAGCTGTCACATTGGTTGCGACTTTAATTTCCTTAGCAAAGCTGTCACATTGGTTGCGACTTTAATTTCCTTAGCAAAGCTGTCACATTGGTTGCGACTTTAATTTCCTTAGCAAAGCTGTCACATTGGTTGCGACTTTAATTTCCTTAGCAAAGCTGTCACATTGGTTGCGACTTTAATTTCCTTAGCAAAGCTGTCACATTGGTTGTGACAATTTGATATAACATTTTTTTTACGAGAAAATTTCAATATACGAAATGAGCAAATACACATACACATTACACATACACGTATACACACACATACACATTACACATACACGTATACACACACATGCACATTACACATACACGTACACACACACATACACACACGTACAGACAAGCACATACAACGTATGAAAAAAATAATTGCTACATTTTCTATGAAATAGTAGCAATTAAGAAAGTAAAAATGATGGATGAATTGATGTTAGCTCTTCCGGTTAACTTTTTTTTTTGCTTAATAAAATATGAATGCGAAAAAAAAAAAGGCGGAAAAAGTAAAAAGGTCATTCTATGTAATGCACTTTTACTTTTACTTTTCCTTTTCTTTTCTTTTCTTTTTAGACTTCAAATAAATATAAAATAATTACTTTATTGCTAGTTTCAACAATAAAAAAAAAAAAAATTTTTGCATTATGTAAAATATTCAAATAAAAATTTTAAGAATTTTAAGATATCTTTTGCACTTTTTTTTTCTTTCATTTTCAAAAAAAAAAAAAAAAAATAAAATAAAAAATAATGAAACAAATTTATCAAAAAAAAAAAAAAATGTGAGGAAATGTAATTAAATACTTATTTTAAGATTCAATTAATTTTGATGCTAATATTAAAATATATGACAAATAAGTCATTGAAATAGGACAAAAATAAAAAACAAAGTATTATTATTAATGGCTTTTGTTAATGCTTTCAGAAAGAAAAGATTGCATTAAGCTAAGGAACTTTTAGGCTAAGAATTTAAGCTAAGAATTTAGCTATGCATTTGGAAGTAATGTTAAATGCAATTTAACATCCTCGTTGAATTATTCTAATTTTTTTTTTTTTTTTTTTTTTTTCACATCTATATTTCTTCTATCAATGTCTTTCTCAAACAATTTTATTTCATTTTAAAACAAATGAAATCTAATAATGAAATATAAAATTTGATAAATTTTAAAAATAATTTATAAGTTAAAAATTTATATGATTATTTGAATAATTTACGAATGTCA